GGGCGCCTCACACCCAGCGGCGGGGGGAGCCCGGACCCCCCCGCGGAGAGGGCTGGGGCTGGGGCTGGGGCCTGGACAAGAGGAGACTAAGGGGGCTGGGAGAGGGGAGGAAGCGAGCAAGGAAACGCCATTTGCTTGTTCCCATCACACTAGACGGCGGGGCCACCACGTGAAGTGAATGGGCAGCAGGTTTAAAACAAACCAAAGGAAGTTTTTCTTCACTCAGCGCACAGTCAACCTGTGGAACTCCTCGCCTGAGGACGTGAAGGCCAGGACTTTAACAGGGCTCACAATAGAGATGGGTAGGAGTGGTGTCCCTAGCCTCTGTTTGTCTGGAAATGGGTGACAGCGGAGGGGGATAATTCCCTGGTGTGATCCCTCCCTCTGGGGCAGCTGGGATCCACACTGTGGGCAGACAGGACACTGGGCTCTGACTCTTATGTGACTGTTCTTATGCTGTGTTTAAACGTTGGTTTCCCAGGCTGGGGTGAGGATGAATCCGAGCCTGGGAGCTGCCTAGCCAGAGCCATTCAGCCTCAGATGTGCCTGGACTGGCAGGTTCCCTGAGTCACTCAGGTAGGGCCAGGTGCAAATCCTCTCTCCCCACCCCACTCCACCCCACCTCCAGGCATCTCTCATCCAGACTCTGGGGGAGGGAGACCGACCTGCAGGGAGGTTTGACAGAACCCACAGCCAGGCACAAGACTCTGTTATTATTTAAGTTCCTTCACCTCCATCCCCCAGATCAGGCCCCATTGTGTCAGGTGCTGTATAGACAGTCCCTGTCCCCACAGTGATGATCACTGTGAAGTCCGATCATTTCACAGATGGGCAAACTGAGGCACAGACATTACTCAGGGATTCTGTAGCAGAGCCCGGAACTGAGGTCAGTTCCCCCCCCCCCCCCCTGGATTCCCCTCCCCCACAGAAGGGACAGGGGCAGGGTTTGGAGACTGCTGAGGAGGCCTCCAACTCCAGCTTCATTAACAACACAGAAGACCATCATGTTCCTGCTTGGTTTCCCCCCCCCAGTCCTGTTCTCTCCTTCAGGGCTGCTTGGCTCCATCCTCCCTCCCTCCCCCAAGCTGAGGCGCCCTGTTGCTGTGCTAAACACCTGCCATGCCCCTGCCCAGAGCTGGCTGCATCTCAGCACTGGGTATCTCTGCACGAACAGCCGCTGGGTCCCACCCCCTGGGAGACTGTACCTCTGGGCTGCATGAGGGATCCCAGGATAAAGACTCCACCCCAGAAGGAGCTGGATTGTGCAATCCCTTTGTGCAGGGCTTTGTAAGGCCTCCATCAGCGAGGGACTACGGGGACGCTGCCTGGGCAACCGAGGGAAGCAGCGGCTCCCTCTTTAAAGCACTGCACGCGCATGGCCCGGAGATGTGTGTATTGTCCCCATTGTGCAGATGGAGAAACTGGGGCACAAGGAGGGGCTGGGGCCTGTTTGTGGTCGTACGAGGGGGCAGTGTGAGAATGGAAACCCAGGCGGTGCTGGCCCTAACCACTAGACCCCATGCCCCTCTCAGAGCCAAGAATAGACCCAGAAGTTTGCCTCACAACCACCTGCTTTAACCACAGAGCAGCTGCGAGTTCAGGGGACAGCCCCGGGGTCCCCCCTTCCTGGAGCTAGACCCCAGGCACCCTGGT